TTTTTCTCCCAAGTCTTGGTGATTTCTGCAAAATGTATACTCGAAGCACTATAGGAAGATTTCAGAATTAATTTTGCGAAGTTTAACCGGGATTTTTAAAAGCCTTTTCTTACGTTTTGCTTTTCATTTTTTGTTTTTTCTGACTATAAAGTACAGGCTTAGTTCATAGTTATTGGCCTTTCGGTCGTTTTGTCAGCAAAAATTTTGATATTTGGCCCAAAACCAAAAAAGTTATAGCCAATTCAAATCCGGCAGAAAAATTGCCGCACCCTGTAATGAAAAATCTTTAACAAGGAAAGTGCTTCTATGGGGTATAGAGTTACAGGTTGAGTCATTTATCAAAAAATTCGTAAAATTTTTCTGATTCACAAGGGAAGTACCCCAAGTGCGACGCTCAGATTTTATTTCAATTTTGCACACACGTTGGTGATAGACTAAAAATCAATTCCTGAAAGTTTTAGCTCGCGCTTTGCAGGCGCCGCCGAGATATCGAACGATTTTTGCCGCCGAAAGAGCACGCTAAACGTGGAGAGCGGTCAAAGAGAAAAACGCTTTTTGGCCACAACTTTGGCAGTTTCGTGCGGAAAACTTTGATTTTTTGTAGAAAAATTATCCTTTACGGTAGAAGTAGGCATGAAACTTTTCGTACCGAAATTCGGCAAAAAGTCCTAAATTTTGGCCGACTTTCGACCTAAAAATCTCGGTTGTTTCTGCAAAGCGCGAGCTAGGATTCTCGCATATGTCTTAGAAAAAATTACTCTAAATTTGTTCCAAGTTTCATCAAAATCTGAGCGTCGCACTTGGGGTACTTCCCCTGTTAGTTCATAGTTATCGGCCTTTCGGTCGTTTTGTCAGCAATGAAAATTAGAACTTTTTCTTTGTCTTGAATTTTTACTATAATCTAGCAAATGGGTACCATATATTTGGTATTAAACAAAATGGGGATGTCTATGGATTCAGGGAAAAAAAGAATTTTGATATTTGGCCCAAAACCAAAAAAGTTATCGCCAATTCAAATCCGGCCGAAAAATTGCCGCATACTGTAATGAAAAATGTTTAACAAGGAAAGTACTTCTTCTAGTTACAAGTTGAGTCATTTATCAAAAAATTCGCAAAATTTTTCTGATTCAGAATATGCAAAAATTAGCTGCCTAATTTTGGTTTGTAAGGGTGAAAAAAGCCTCGGAACTTTTCTCGAAACACCACACAAATGCCTTTTTGACCAAGTTTTTACCAAATCAAAAGCTTGTTTTTGAGTTAAAGTAAACTCTGTTACCTTTACAAGCCTTAAAATATCAAATTTAATTTATACTACACCTTAATGAGTAGTTCCAATGTAAAAAAGGCGCATTTTCATGGTGTTGCGAGAAAAGTTTTGAGGATTTTTTCACCCTTACAAACCAAAATTAGGCAGCTAATTTTTCCATATTCTGCATCAGAAAAATTTTGCGAATTTTTTGATATATGACTCGACCTGTAACTTTCCTAAACGCGAAATTTTAACGTTTGCTTTCCATTTTTTCCCGATCAAACACCTAAAAATCTCGGTTTCCCTGACCATTCTTCCCGCTTTCCCATTCTTTCGTTTTCCCTTTTTTATTTTGTAAACAAAAAAATAAAGGTAACCTTGAACAGGAAAAGCAATCACCACACCAAAAGATAGCCGGTTTATTTACCAGTGGGCGTTCGTTTTCCCTGTTTTCGGAAAACGTTCGGAAATTCCATCGACTGTTTCGTCGATTAAAATTGTGATAGCAGTTGGGGGAAAGGAAGGAGTTTTACAACTTTTGCAATTTGGAAAAATGTTTTGGATCCGTGGATTGGCTTCAAATGCCATCCGATTTGCCGCTTTCTAATTTCTTGAACGGATTTTGATGATAAATTTCATTTTTTCATCAACGAAATTTGTAAAAATTTTTTGAGTTTAGGACTTCTAAAGTCAAAAAATGAGCATTCCAAAGATTTTAGCTTATTATATGCAAATTTGGCAAAGATTTTCAATGATTTGTAGAAATTCCTAGATGCCTAGATTAAGGTGTCACCAACAGACGAACGATTAAATTTTTTCGTCTGTTCGTAGATTTCGACGAACAGACGAACTAACACGAAAAAATGACGAGAGAAGGAAGCTAACACGTCCCGTTGTTCGTATAGTTCTCCTGTTCTTACAACCCTGATCTATATCGCACGCTAACCTGTGTACAAAAAATGGAAAAAATTTTGTCAAAATAATCATACTTTTTGCTTTGGATCCTAGGCTACGTTATACCAGTCCGTTCGCAAAGTCACTGCAGTGATTTCTGCGGTGTGAGAAACACTTTGCACGGCGCAATAAGCCTTTTTGGGATTGCTTTGACTTTTTCTGCATGTCGCAAAAATCACTTCAACGACTTTCCGAACGGACTAGTATGTACTGTAAAACATTTTTTCGTAATCTTGCAAAGCGAATACTTTGCTTTAAGAATTGTATTTAAATACAAGTTTTGAGGCCTTTTCGATGTATTTTTTTGAAATTCAGTTTGGCGTATACATCGCTCTTTGCAAAAAAAATTTTTTATATGTGTAAAAACAAAGCATCGTATGTGTAAACTTTAAACAAAATCTGAGCGTAAAATTTGAAGCACTTTCCTGGCAAAAACTTCATGAAAATTAAAGTATACGCACAACTGCCTGCAAACCTGTCTATAACAAAAATTTCAAAAAAGCCCTGGGTTAAATCTCAGGCCAAACTAAACCTCCGTACAACGAAACCCTCCTATAACAAAACTATTTTATGATCCTTACCCAAACATATTAACCCTAATTACTATTGTAAAAGGTCAGTAGCTCAGTACTTTTACTCTAACATGCTGGTAAAAATAATTGAAAAACCGAAATCTACGTTTTTTGGTTCTTTGATCTCGCCTACTGCCACATAACTTTCTGACGTTGTGGTGGCCCTAGTGCATCACAAAATTCAAACTTTGAACCAAAACAACACTGAAATCACTGTTTTCCGTGACTTTTAGTGTCGGCCAGTTTCAAAAACCCCGCAGCGCAATTTTTATATGTTAATCTCGCTTGCTACACAATATTTACCGTCTTTTCGGGGCTTAATCCTTCATCGATCGCGGCGGAAGTCGCTATTAAAAAAATTTGATAAGTTCAAAGCCCGGTTTCAAAAAAAATTCCAACCTTTTAAATATGTCTGCTGAGTTTTGGATGTATTGAGGGCGGGAGATGGGGGGAAAGTTAGATTAAAGGGCCTTTACATCATGCTGATTTAATATTTTTACAGTGTCCTAACAATAAGTGCGGACATTTGCTGCGCTTTTTATTTTCTAATGCAATATTTTTTGAAGAATCAATACCTGACGACGCGTATTTTACCATGACAAGTTTTGGGATTTTTATGACTGTTTTTTTTTTTGAGTTTTACAAGGAAAGTACTTCTATGGGGTGTGGAGTTACAGGCCGAGATATATACCAAAAAATTCGCAAAAATTTTCTGATTCAGAATATATAAAAATTAGCCGCCTAATTTTGGTCTGATGACATGTTTTTGTCCTCAGAAGTTTTCTCGCGACACCATGCAAGTGCCTTTTTGACCGTGTTTTACCAATAAAAAAATTTTGTTTTGTGCTAAAATAAATTCTGAGGCCTTGACAAGCCTTAAAATATCAAATTGGATTACAACTACACCTTAGAAGTAGTTCCAATGTAAAAAATGGGTTCTAGCGTGGCAAAACGAATCGAACCCGTTCCCTTCGGATTCCCAATCTAGCGCTCTAACCACTCGGCCGCACCGCTCTCTTCCGAGGGAAGAGACCGAGCACGCTTTTGTTGCCGCAGATTTTTTTCCTCGATAAAACTCGTTGATAGACCAAAATTAGGCAGCTAATTTTTATATATTCTGAATCAGAAATTTTTTTGCGAATTTTTTGATATATATCTCGACCTGTAACTCCATACCCCATAGAAGTACTTTCCTTGTAAGATAATTGACCTTTCTTTGGTTTTGCACTGTGCATCTGAAATATCGCTGCGACCTAAGCTTTTCTCAACTGCGCCGCCGCGATTTTGCTGCACAGTGCAAACTTTTTTGAAGTTTGCACGGTGCGCAAACGGGGAAATTCCACAGTGCGTTGGCGACAAAGGTTCAACATGCACTGTGCGAAAGCGAAATGATGTCCAGGCACTTTGTGAAAATGCTAATATACAACTCCTTCCGGAAAGTCGCCGGACTGATTTTTGGCGTATGCACAGTGCGGAAAAAGACAGGTTGCCAGTGAGAGCCCAAAAAAGGACGGCACAAAGTGAACTTTTGTTTTTGCATGTACCAATTTCAGTCCAGAGGTGCACCTATTGACTTTCCGGCAGGGCTAGTATTTACTCTACTACTTACATTGCAAAGTTCCGAAATTTTGCACAGTCCGTTATTCCGAGAGTTTTCGCTCCTGCCGCGGCGACTCCTCGTTTTTGTACTAGCGACGCACGGCAACCCCGGGAGTCTCCCTCCTCGTTTCGGCACCTCGCACACCCAGTATCGGTTAAATTCACACGAAATGTCACAACAGAATTTTTCGTGTGGTTTTTCGATGGAAAAATAAATACTTTTCTCGAAATTATTTTATTGCTTTTGTCAGTTGTGACACTTCGTTTGGACGAAACTCAAAAGTGGGCGGGGACATTTTGTCCTATTTCGGTTTGCCGTGCGACGTGCACTTTTCGCGTGCTCACTCCAATTTTCGAGCAGGACTTTATGGCACGAGTATCAGTCTGTCGGGAAAATAACAAGCAAAATTTCGCACCGAAAATCACATCGCCGCCGAGAAAATGAAGTGTGTCCCGGCAAAATCAAGTCTATTTTCACTTCAGCGACGCAATTGGCGCAGCGTTTTTGCTCATTATTTTCCCGACGGATTGTTAATTATGTATATCACAACTTTTTTGAATTTAATTATGCTTTTTTCAGTCATAACCAACCTTCTTCTCGATCTCACCTCCCTCTTCGAGTTGCAATGTCCATTTCCGAGACTGCCATGAGTGTAGAGTCCTTAGATTCGTCCGGTCGCAATAGCCCCGATTCCGGGATGGGGCGCAGCTTAGACGAACAGCTTCTTGACGACTTGTCGTCGCTGGATTTGGCGCAGAATTTGAATGAAAATGAGATTGGCGAAGAGACGGAAGGTATTGCCGAGAACAAGAAATTGACCAAGGGGTATCGACGAAGACAGCGGAGAAATCGCGCCAAGCAAAGAGTAAGTTGGGATGTCCTGTAAGTGTAGGTTGGTTACTGTAACAAGAGTTTTGAGAAGGGTTGAAATTTTGGTTACTGTAACAGGAATTTTTGAAATGATTGAAATTTGGGTTATTGTAGCACAAATTTCGAAATTTGGGTTACTGTAACAATAGTTTCTGAAATGGTTAAACTTTGGGTCACTGTAACAAAAATTTCATTATTTGGGTTACTGTAACAAAAATTTCAGTATATGGGTTACTGTAACAAGAATTTTTGAAAGGGTTGAGGTTTTGGTTACTGTAACAGAAATATCGAAATTTGGGTTACTGTAACAAGAGTTTCTGAAATGGTTAAACTTTGGGTTACTGTAACAAAAATTTCGATATTTGGATTACTGTAACATGAATTTTTTAAAATGCTAAAATCTTCGGTTACTGTAACAAGAGTTTGTGCAGAATTTGAAATTTGGGTTACTGTAACAAGAATTTTTGAAAGCGAAAAAAAAATTTGGCTACTGTACCAAAAATTTGACAGTTTGGGTTAGCGTAATAAAAAAAATTTCAATTCTCAAAGTTTCGGTTACTGTAACAAGTTTTCATTGAAATCTCGAACAGCTTTATTCGGTTTGTAATTTTCTTTTTTTTTGGCAAAATAAACACCAATTGCTTTTGCTTATTACTAATACATTTTGGGTAAGTTCTGGGTGGCAAAATGAGTATGGTTCAGAGAGGAGTGGAAATACGTGCAACTGCATTTAAAAGCACCTGAGAACAAATTGGAACTGAGATTGGACTCTTAGCAGGTGAGTAATGTTCTGAATTTTTAAATTATCTAAAATTTTATACATGTAATATTGCCTATAACTACTTCCTGGAACCGTTTTCGTTATTAAAATAAAATCTCATTTCCTTGTGGTCACTCTGGGCCGTTTTTTTCATTATGCCCAAAGTTTGCCATAATATTTTCGGTCTTTATTAGTTTTCTCCGGGTTGTAAACAGCCTCAGGGCAAATTGAGTGGACTATAGTGGGCAAACATTGAAATGGCACTGTTTTTTGGGCCGAAAGGCCATATCGTCATGGAGTTTTAGTGGAGAAAAGTGAAATTTTTGAAAATGTCATCATGACGTTTTTTTTGGAAATTTCGGGAAAGTGCCTGGCAATGTTGTTTTAATGAATATAAACTACATTTTTTATATTCAAAGTATGCCAAATTCATCTTTTTCCTTTCATTTCCAACAAAAAATCAAAATTTTTTATCTCTCTTTTTTGCTCAAAACTTGCTCCAAACACTGTCGACTTCGTGAATAAATTTATTGCTCTCCATAGTTTCTATGGCAGTTCCGATCTCCGCATGAATAATATTTTTTGCTCGTTTTCTGATGCAATCTCAAATGCGGGGTCTTTGGAGAATCATATGCAGTGAAGAACGGGAATGATTTATGGTTGACTAAGAGGGGATAATTGGAACGTTCAAGAATTTATTTTTCTTTAATTTTTTTGGTTCTTGAAACAGAATGCCAAAATGGGCGGTACTCAAATTTGTTAAATTAATTGTAATGCAATTTAAAAAAGTGTATTACACCAATTTTCACTTCAAGATGAACTTATTTTAGCTCTTTTCTGCGCTTTTTGGCCCTTGCAACAGAATGCCAAGACCTCGGAAGTTTAAGATTCTGAACTTTGGCGCTGTAAAAGTCTAACCTTTCTCTTTAAATAGTAATGTCTTGCCACACCCTCTAGTTTGTAAGTAATTTTGGACGTTTTTTGGCCCTTGAAACAGAATGCCAAAATTGGCGGGAATTCAAATTCTTTGAACTGTAGATTTCTAAATATCACATTGGTTCTCTAAATTAATTTATAAGCAAAAATTCCAATTTCTGCACAATTTTAGAAATTTTTGGTCCCTGCAACAGAATGCCAAAACCGGCGCAAAAGCAAATTTTCCGAACTGCAACTGTTCAAAAAAACGCGACTATTGATCCCTAAAGTAATATGTGTGCAAAAATTCGAATCTCTCTAGAATTTCGGGTTTTTTGACACTTGCAACAGAATGCCAAAACTCGCGGAAAGTTAAATTTTCAAAAAAATTGTTTCTCGAGAAACCCGGAAATCACCTGCATTTTTCAAAAACTAGTTTCACCGTCTTCTTCATTCCATTCTTTTACTGTTATTGGTATTGATATTGATATTCATTACTCTTTTTTTGTATTGCGTAATATTCATTTGCGGAATTCCCGTTTTACCCGATTAATTATGGGGGAAGACGGGTATGATTACAAGTGTCTGTCATATGTTTCAGGAAGAGACGGAGAGACGTTGTAAACCGTTTTGAAAGGTTTCGGAATGTTATACTTGTATTGCGTAAGGGTGATATTATTGTTTACTTCATGGTTTAAACTGAAATTTATAGCAAAAAACATAATGGCATTACATTTTTAAGGGCAAAATTTCATTTTTTGGGCAGAAATTTTTTCTGAAAATTTCGATTTTTTTGGAAATGTGATACTTTTTGATACTTTTGATTTTTTTCGTAGAATTTTGATTATTTATTGGGGATTTGGGCGTTTTTTTGAGCATGTTGAAACTTTTGGCCAAGTTTGAGCTTCTCTGGAAAACTGGATACTTTTTGATACTTTTTTCTTAAAGTTTTTCCGTTTTCGAAATTTTTGATATTTTGAAATGTTTTAATTATTTTTATCTCGATCACAGTCACAAAGTGAATATGTAATTGAAATTCGACAAACGATTTATAGAAATTTTGGTGAGTTACCGAGTTTGGCGAAAAAACGGTGAGAAAGGTTAGTCTGTAATTTCTATTTTGTGTTGATCTTCAATTTATAATACATAAGAAATATCTCAGAAAGTTTTTATTGTTAGTTTAGTCCAAACTTTGGAAGCTTCCTGAGACTGGATATTTCCAATTTTTTAGAAAAAAATATCAACGTTTTTTCAAAGTTTTAGGCCTTTTTTAATCTGTAGGTTACACATTTTTTCCAAAAAATGATTCTTTTTCTCATAATCCGCAACGATCCGGCCAAAGAAATATGTTTTTCTCTGACCGTTTCTCTTCATTCCCCATGCTCTCTCGTCCACAAAGATTGTTGTATATCTTGACTCTCTGCGCAAAGCATAAGCTAAAATTTTCACCAATTAATTTGTAATACTTATAGAGTATACATTCAAAATTTGAGGTCAATCCGACTGTTGAATTTTGAGAAATTTCAATTTTTCTCATTTTGGTGTATAAAAAAAATATATTTTGTGTTTTCCAAAAAATTACCTTCAAATCGCAGATTTTAATCTTACAAAAACCGATTTGTTTTCTCCTAAATTTTAATTCTTTTTTATTTCCATCATTCCAAGTGCGTAATACCCCTCAATTGTCTTGTTTATTTTAGGATTTCCCCCCGGTTTTCATTGTTTTTTTCTAATTATTTGCAAACTTCTGTGCAAACAGACAACGGAAACAGCACTTTCGCTGAGCCTCTGAACTCTTATTATTATCGCTTTTGTCACTTCAACTGTCTGAGGGAGGGTTTCGAACGTTTTTGGGCCGATTGTTTGATTGAAATGAGGGCATGGAGAAGATCGAGAAACCAAATTAATTTTTGAGTGTAATAACAGTTTTAAATGGAATAAAAATCACTGGAGGATACTGTATTTTATATTAACAACGTTTTTTAAAAAGTTTTGGGGATTTTGAGAATTTAAATTTTGAATCTCCCGCCAAATTTGGCATTATGTTTCTTAATGCAAAAAAAAAAAGATTGTAATGTAGAGACGAGGTAAAATACGAGACCAGGAGTACAGCCATAGATTTTGACGGTTTTTATAATTCAAATTTTGAATTTCCCGCCAAATTTGGCATTATGTTTTATGAGTGCCACATTTTTTTTATTGATGGGACATGGCTAAAACAATTAAAAATACGCCTTATATGAATAATAATTATATTTTTCATGCAAAATTTACAGATTTTTTGATATAAAAATGACAAAGATACAAAAAATTCAATAATTTTTGCAATTTTTTGGTCAAAAATTATTTTTAATGCCTTTACCTTGATTTTTAGTTTATTACTGTGCTCTTTCAGCTATCTTATTATTGATTCTATTCTGGTCTTTAATTTTCTTCCGTCTATTTGTCCCAAAAATAGTAAGAAAATCCTATAAAAGGCCTCCCTATAAACCATCACGTTGTGGCAGTTTTCCGTTTGCCCCGCCAAAACAAAGCCATTTTTTACTACGATATTTACTCGTTACTATTCCTAAATGAGTGGGAGATATTTTATCCACCGCTTTAACCCTAAAGGGCTTCCGTTTTCTCGCGCAATTACGGTTTTCTTTTTGTCTTCTTTGGGGACGGATAATTGCATAAATTAGCTGAGAGGGTCGTAGGAATGTCCTCTAATTTAAGGGGGTCGTCTAGACGTAATTTTTCTTTTTTTTTTGTGTGACAGAATTTTTTTACCAGTCGATTTTTTTTTGATTTTTTTGTGGAAAAATAAATTTTTTTTGGAAATATCGGAATTTTTTTGGGAAATAGAAAATTTACAGTCTATTTTTTTTTTGATTTTTTGTGGGAAAAATTTAAAAAAATTTTTGAAAATTTCGGGATTTTTTTGAAAATTTAAAAAAATTAGGAAATTTTATATATTTTATGATGGAAAAAAAAGAAAAAAATATTTTTTTTCCTCGAAGATAAAAAAATTATTCCAAAAAATCTCGATTTTTTTGGTAATCAAAAGTAAATAGTCTCTAAAAATCCTAAAAAAATTGATTCACTATCTTCGCCCTATTTCAATTATGTTTTTCATTTTTTCAAAAAAATTTTTTTAATTCCATAAAAAAAATAATTTTTTTCTTGTCTAATGGCCACTACGTAGTAGAAAAACTTTTCTCTTGACATTCCCAAATAATATTTCTTCGTTTTTTTCGATCCCATCCGACTCCAAACCTTGAGGGCGTTTGAATCATTTTTCTCTTTGGACCCAGACAGGTTCGTAAAAAACTTTTTTTTTTTATTGATGGCCAAGGGGTTTTATGGCAGTGGCCGTCGTAATATCGGGATGTGTCATCCGAGCTTTGATTTTTTTGGATGCTTTTTCGAGTCTTTAGGATTAGAAAAATTGATTTTTTTAAAAAGGTTGTTCTTTTTCAATTTTTTTGCTGCAAATATGAGTCTGTCGGGAAAATAATGACACTCTGTGGCATCGAAATTGCCACAGAGTACTCATTATTTCGACGCCGAGAAAATGAATGTGTCGCGGCAAAATCAAACTGCTCTTTTTGGCCAGCGACATTGTACTCATTATTTTCCCGACAGACTGATATACTATCTTTGCACACTTTTTTGAAGTTTGACGCAAAAATAAACGAAAAGAAATTTGAATTTGAAGAAAAGGAAACGAGATTTTAAACCCGCGCTTTGCAGAAAAACTGATCTTTAGGCCAAAACAAAAATTCCACACCAATCAAAGGGTTTTTCCAAAAAAAAATTATAAAAAATATAATTTTTGGAACAGTTGTAGGCGTTCGCTGTCCCAAGAGAAAAGGCCTCCCACTCAGAGCCACTCTTCCAAAATTATATTGGACCTTCAAACATTTGTTTTCGGATCAAGCGAAGGAACAATTTTAGTTTGAATTGGCCTAAAGCTTTCGGATTTTTTGGGATTTTACAATTTTTAATTAGATTTGTATGGGTGAAATAGGCGTATTTTAGAATCGAATTTTTTCTTTCATATCGAAATTTTTTCAAAAAATTTAATTTCCATTTCATAAATCGAGATTTTTTGGAAT